GAAATGTCCACAAAATGGCTAGCTTTTCACCAAACAGTGCACGGTATCGATCAATAAATTGATTGGTAAACGGGGAGACGGTTAAAACCAACAATTTAATTTCTTATATGACGGCTGAATATAATCCCTTTTGTTATTTCCTTTTACAATGTCGGCTAAATATAATATTTTGCCAGTTTGAGCTCGATAGCGGATCTAATTTTAGCCACCCCCGTTTTGATGATCCCAGGCGTCCATCATTTTCCTCCTTTCATCCACTCCTCTTTTCATATCTTTCATCGCATCATGATTCCATGATCATCGCTGTCGCCAATGAATCAATTTCTCAACGAAGAAGAATCCTTCTAGAACGTTTATCAAGAAAATCGTGCTTACATTTTTCGGGACCGATCAATACCCATGTTTTCTGTTATGTGAACGATTTCAGGCTCAAGTTCGTCGTCGGGTTGTAGTTCGTCAGCTACCTGTGAGCTGTACGATCTGGCCACGGCGCACGCACTTCTTGCCCGGCAACAGCAGCTGATCCAACAAGGTTTGTTCGTATGACCGTAATCTTCTAATCGAAAAGCAATCGATTATTGATCGATCTCCATTTCAGCAAATTTTCCACTGATTTCGTCGGCGGAGCTCGTTCAACAGCTGGCTCATCATCAGCAACTGCAACAATTGCAGCATCACATACAAGGAATTGTGCACCATAATCTAGTTGGTGAGTTACACCATCGATGGTGGTGACTTCGATCGATTATTGATCTTATCACGGCTTATCAGTCACACAAAGGCAAACGTGTCGAACTTTGCACTTTTTTTCTGCTGGAGATAACTCTGGTCAAAGAGTAAATCGCAGTTCTAGCGAATCGTCCCATCGATAGCTCTCTGGTCAATTTTTTCCCTGCTGGGAAAGTCAATCCAACCAAGGACGGGGTCCTCGTGCCGTGCACATGCCCATTTGCGATTATGAACGTTCTTTCTACTCAGCGATTAGCCTTGCCACTGAAAAATCGATTTCACTGTGATGTTTGATGAATTGCTCCCGGTTTCACTGGCTGTTTTCCTTTTTTACTAGCGAATTTTCCAATTCTATTTCACGTTTCCGAGGCAATTTTTCTAATATTACATGATTATTTTACATTTTTTTTGCTTGCCCATACATCTCTAATTACTGTAGCAAATTCCTGTTGCGGTACAAATGCCTTTTGAAGGTGCTCGATCAGATTCAGATAAATCAGATTCCCTCATTTTTGATTTTTTTCCAATTTTCGGGTAATTATTATTTTTATTTTCTTTCATTATTTATTTTTTCTTTCTTCGCAACCGAATAATAAAATCTATTCACCGCAAATTTTATACATACTGATTTTCCATTTCCTTCCGGGAATTTTCCATACTATAGGGCTCAGGCGACCTGAGATGCTTCGTATGGCTCCCGGTACTGTAATTGATGATCACCCAGTTATGAGCTGACCTCAGCCTAATTATTGATTATTACTGGACGGTGAGATGGCGCTGCACCAGCATTGGCCTCTCTTTTAGGTTTTTTTTTGCTGTTCCCCCCCCCCCCATGAGCCTGAGTTTGGGGAAGGTCCTCCACTTCTCTGAGTCTTCATCGTCTGCTTCTACCTTACTTTCTTTATCCCACAAGAGTACTACCGATAGCCTGACGATTTCTTGATCAGTTGTGTCCTGTTCTTTTATCTGATTGCTTATCTATCTATTTATTTGTTTATTTATTTATTTATTTATTTGATACGAACAGTTCACATAGTTGTTTGTTAGTTGTTTTTTTTTACCGGAGAGGGCGCAGTTCAACCTCGGCGGGGTATGGGAAGGGGAAAGGGAGCTTTGCCCCCACAAAATTCGACCGATCCATGGCTTCATATAATAGATCTTTACTTGATGGCTCAACACGGCGATGTCGAGTTACTGAGAAGACAAAATGCGCCCCCCCCCCACCTTGAGCTGTTTCTTTTTTGTTCGCTGTGGGATCGTTAAAGATCAGCACAAATACTGCACTTGCAACATTGAAGCGGAGCTGGACGAGCGCGCGGAAAAGTTTCCTACTTGCTCCATTTTTTCGTGACAGCATAGAACATATCATTTTATAATGTTTATAGTTATAATAACTGTAATGGCACGGTCACAGTACCTCACAACCGGTTTGGAAGGGTAGACCTGCCGCTCCGGGTAGCACCTGGTGATCTGGCAGAACGTTTCTTTCGAGTTGTACCCCGAAATGGCAAATTTGAACGTTAGCAATATTTCCGACCTCACTGCCATTTTTTTCGGGGTGTTGTTGATCGCTTTCAGCTTTTGTTAGCGATTTCATGGACTGTTATGTAGTAGGATATAGTGTTAGCTATTGTATCAGCTTCAATGTCAATAATAATACAGTGAGGTTTGTAGGAGTTGTAATGTTTCCAATTTTAAATTATTTCGAACTATTTCTATATTTTTGCGGTTTATTATATATGAAATAACTGTATACTATTATTTGCTCAGTTAAAATAGAAACATCTTTTGTTATTAATTTTTTTGAGTGATATTCGAAGCCTTTTTTATCATTACGTTTTATTTTTTCATTCATCCAATCACCTCTACTCACCTTAAACTAAGGTTGAGGGGGCCTGGTGCGCTGCCCTACTGAGTGGGAGGATGAGGTTTCTGAGATGCTTCACTGCAAGGCAAGCTCTTCTGTTGATGCACTTTTTTGTGAAATACGACTCCCTTCCCCCAACCATACCTTTTTTCCCCGAGTTTTTTTCCAAAAATTTCCTTTTGAAAAACTGCCATCGAGGGTGGAGAGGGGTGTATAGCGCTTTATGCAGGAAACCAAAAAAAGTCGACAACCGGAAACATTTTTCTCGGAGTAGGACTCCGAGAAAAGTAGTAAAAGAGTAAGTAAGACTCCCTTCCCTCCTGGGGTGACGGACAGAAGGATCGTAAATTGCCGCTTCGTCGCGCGCGGCGATGGGCGCGACGTTTCTTCAAGCTACGGTTCCCTTTCGATTGGAGCACTGGATTTCATATAAGCAAGGATATGGTAGACCTTGCGAGCAAATACGATCCCCTCAGTGGGGGCCCCCAAACTAGGACCTGTTCGACCTATTTCAGAATATTTGGATAAAAGGTGGGTAGAAACGCTTAGCCCCTTAATCGATACCGATCAATTTATCGATTGCCCTATTATATGGATGCCTGCAAGACAGTTTCCTGAAGTAGATCATTGCGTGTGCCCTGACTCCAAATAGCTGCTTTGGAAGCTCTTGCAAGATGTTAGAGACGTAGAGGACGCACACTCTACTTCTCTGCGCTTTTCCATGACCGATTTCCTTTTGCATCGCAGTTACCAAAACTGGTTTTTGAAATAAAAATGAAAATTTCTGAAATAATTCCATCTAATTTCAGGCGACATGGCACTCGTGTCGCATCCGGCGACAGCGGCCGCAGTTGGCGCTGCGCCAATGTATGCCGGTAACGTTGTGAAACAGGAGAAGAAATCCCAAGTACCGACACCACATCAAGTACTGCAAATGCAACAACAGCAATTACCACAGGTATTGATCGGTTTTATTGATTTTTACCACTTCTTAAAAGATTTTTTGCTGCTTGCTACTTTTAATACTGAAATATGAAGCAGGAATCGGCGCAATTCGGCTTGGTGGGGCCACCAAATGGTACTCAGCGAAGTCTGTACAGGCCACCTTGTGAAGTCCTGTAACTCCTTGTGAAAAAGCCACTCCATTTTACCACTCTGCAGCTTCCCAAGAAATTACCTGCTAGTTGACATCAAATATCAAAATGAACTATCGGAAATGCAAAGTGCCCCTCCCAAGCCAAACAGCGCCCAGACATCTTTCTGCAAACAGGGGCTAGATAACCTCCAGTTAGGCAAAACCGTTTGCATTTCTGCATCTGTTTTGACAGTAATTTAGTAGTCTTATGCTAACTGATAGCGTTTATCAGTGGCTATCAATAGCGCAAAGGCTTGCTGAAAGGACAAGAATGTCGTCTAACTGACTCATTTGGTGCAATCTACTGGACCATTTCGTCTATTTATTATTTGCTTTCTTTTTGATTTTTGTAATGTTTTCATTAGACGTTACTCATCCCAGTCAGCACCAACAGCTGGATCAGGTGATAAGGCACGAGAATATCACGCCATTGATCACCACCGTTGCACTCTCCACTTCCCGTAGTTCTCGCGTGATCGCCGCTCTCATCGTGATGTGATGGAGCCGCCAGCCGGGGCACACGCCGCGTTGTGTACTTTACCTACCCTCGTGCTCGTGGCTAACCGCTCGTTTTCATCGTCTTGCAGCTCGTCTTCCTTTTAGCCTATTTATCCATATGGAGCAGAATTTTCCGGAAATTTGGGTTGTTTCTGGGTTCCCAGGTGCTCCTCACCACCAGGATATGTTGTCCATTCGAACTGTTCGTGGCCAGGGTGTGCGTTTGGGGGCACGGGAGGGAGGCTGTTCTGGGCTTTTCGTTGGCTTGCCTTTTCCAGAGATCTACTCTTCACTCCAGTCCATTTGTGGCCAGTATCATTTTCCCGCTGTTGATGGGTACCAAATTGTAAGGCCACTATTTGGTTAAGAGGCGGGAGTGCAGTTGGACAAATTTGCAGGAATGGCGAAAATGGCCTCATATCCACCGCTGGGCGTAGTAAGTGGGCTAACGATCTTATCAGGAATCCCTGGAATTTCCTCATCCGACGTTCCCGATCAGGTCAACTGCCTTCGTAGTGCTGGTCGTCCATTCCTTCGAACGGTGGCCAGCAACTTCTCCAATTTCCCTTCTTCCTCTCGGAGTCTTGGGTAGTGAGTGGTTTATTTACGGACCAGGGTCCTGAAACCTGTGATCATGACGTGTAGGTGGTTATACTGTTGTTTCCTTGTCGGATATGGCCCCTTTAACGCGCTACCCAATCGATCTGGTTGCCGATACAGCTGATTCCACGATTTCCATGTGCAAACAAAAATCGGAGCTCTGGGCTTCCCATCCGCCTCCTTTACTGGGAAGTTCGTTTATTTCACACACCAGAAACCCCACGCCAAAGTATAAAAACGGGTCTCAGGGGGGGGGGCATGTATTGCATGCAGGAGCTACGTTGTGGTCATGAGACTGCTCTGTTGCCGAGGCATGCCATTGTGGGGAGAAATTGGTTCCTAAATACGGCCCCTATTCGACCTCGACTTCTCGTTGGGGGATCTTCAGCGTGCCGTGCTTGAGTTGCCTGCTCGTGTCAGATGCAAGCACTTTCTAAAGGCTCCCATCATATCTCATCAGGAAGCATCAGCCTTAAGCTTTTTTCACTGGGAAATCTGACCTGCTCAGGAGCCCAGCGAGAAATCTTGGAAAGGACCGTGAGCACAGGAAGGAATTCCAAGGAGGTTCTGTGAAGAAGACGAATCTCCTGATCGAAGGTCTGCCGTACACATCGGAGATCCCTGTTTTGATCTGCTCCTGTCAACATTTTCCTCCCAAGTCGTCCCTGTAGGGTCGCTGGAAGCATCACCACCCTAGTCATGCCTTACGCGCTTTAATTGAATTTCTTCAGTCAAATTCTCCTTCATTTGCGATAGTACATTAGTTCTTTGGCTGCACTGGAACCATTTGGCTGTTCAAGAATCTTGCTGTTGTAAAGCAGTGCCTCATCAGTGATTGAACATTCTAGCCATCTGCCAGATGGAACAGGTCTCCTATGCCACCCCTTGCTGTGCCTGCAAACCACAGCAGTCACATGTTCAGCACGTTTGTGGTGGTAATGTTGCGAGTATCACGTAACAGTCCAAAAATTCGATTTGTTGAAGTGACAGCCGTCGATGGGGCGTCCGGTGACAAATAGCAGCAAGGACGAGACGACACGAGTCGACATCGCCCCATCACGGTTGCCATCGAACGATCACCAACACCATCGCCATGCCAAAAACGCCACGTCAACCACCTCCATCACGACGATTTTACATTTTGCCCCATTTCGTTGACGTCATTCCACTTGCCTATGCGATTAGGGCTATTTTGGTCCTGCTCTGAAGCCTAACATCTTAGGCGGCGCTTTTTATGCCGTTGATCGAGCAGCTCTTGCCTTTCACAACGGCATTCATCGGCTTCATTTAGCCATTTTCGCTGTCCACTTGGTCTGAGCTCTTGCTCAGATGGTCGTTGGGGAGGATCGGCGTCTGTAGAAGGGGGGTCGTATTTCAGTCGCTAGGAGGAACTGGATCGTATA